CATTTAGTGTAAAAATCACTAAAAATTCTTTCCAGTGCTCGTAAGATCTGTCTTGGACTGGATCCTGAATTGTAGATTCATTTATACTGCTCTTGGTGCAGACAGGATCATCTCATGGTCAAGGATAGATTCAGTACTAATCGGAGTACAAGCCCCCGGCAAGGTAACCTTGAGCTACTGAGAGAGCATGGTGCGTATGTTTCTGACACTAACACAACCACAAGACACTGCCCAGGGTGAACAAGGCATTTCCTCAATGATGTGGAACAGAAGGAACTGAAGTCACCTCTTTATCTGCAGGCAGTTTATTTGCCAGACAGCTTCCTGGGCATTGACTTATATCTGTATACACAGTGCTCTGTGCATGCCTTTAGTTGAGACACTGAAACAATGCCTTTCAGACGCGTGCGTTTCCTCCATGACTTCCTGCCTCTGCCGCAATCTCCCAAAGTGCCGCACAGAGCGATAGTGTATCTCTGAGGACAGACATGAAAGGGATCGCTCCGAGCGACCGTCTTCGGCTTATCGGGCCGCAATTGACAGTCTTCCACGAACGGGCGCCTTTCTCGTGTTCACGTGGCCCCACAACGTTCCAGAAACGTCGCCGCGAGCCGTGCGCCATGCACACTTCAGCAGCGCGGCGCTCGGCGGCTGATTCGGAGCTGCTGCAGTTTACCACATAAATGCACCGCTGTAACTGGAAGTCATTCATCTGGTGGCACAAAGCGGGGCCTCTCTCTTCAGTCGTGCTCATTCTCCGGCAATCTCCTCCCACAATGCCGCGGGCACTCCAGGATTAGTCCTATTCAGCCCGACTCACAGATGTTCCCCCCCATTGCAATCACCGCTCCATCTCGAGTGCCTCCGGAGATCTCTCATCTGTATTTGTGTGTGTGTGTGTGCGCCGAACGTCTGTACTCACGCCGAGAGCGAGCACATTCAAAATCTCACATCTCGGAGCTTGAAAATGAAGAGCCGCTGCTGGCCTTGATCAGAGAGGTGGTGGTGGGGGAAGGGGGTGGGACGGTGCCATTCAGTCCTTTTGTTTGTGAACGCTGAGTGAGTTTTCCCACTGACACCGAGTCCAGAGGGCAGGGACGCTGCGCTCTACCGCCGGGTGGGTGACAGCGGCTCTCACTCCCACGCAGAGACGAGGACTCGCAGCCGTTAACAAAGCCAGGCAGGCCAACATTCAAAGGGAATCGGGTCTCCCGGGGCGCTGAACATGCGACATGGGTGCGAGAGAGGTGAAGAGGTTGATGAAAGTCCCCGCATTGGTAATTACACATCTACAGACTGAGGATGCCCCATTGTTGCCCGGTGGCATGTTACGCCTCTCAATCAAGGCTGAGGAACACAGAGCTTTCTGCTGAAAGACATTCATTTATTATAATTATCACTTCAGCTGAATGACAGGAAAAAATGTGCTGAAACATTGGACTGGATGAAAACTAAATGTACATATGACAGTTGCCTATGGACTGATCTGTACCCATTTTGTGGCAAACAGATTCAGACCACATGAAACCATGGTGCAGAGGCTATGGCACTGGACTCCTCTAAGTCTTTGGCATGGTGCTATGGAAGTAGCCCAGCTGTTGTAGTAAAACCCAGCATTATAAAAATGCTACAAAATCCTGAATCAGGGAGCCTCTTAAATGTGTTGCATTTATATTTACACAAGCTATACATCTGTATGAGGGCACTATCACTATCAAGTGCTCAGACTTCAGAACTTCTGTAGCAAACCATGGCAGCTCCCAGGGTTCATCTCCTCACTGGCTCAGAGCTCATCCTGGCTTCTGTGGTGCATGGGAGCTTTGCGTGCTAGAACACTCCCTGGACAGGACAAGAGTCTGTCACAGAGCCATTACCCACAATGCACCACTTCTGAAACAGAGACAACGAGACCCATTTGCGCATTCCTGCGATGGTGGTTTAATGTAACCCCTGACCTCCTATAGGGTCAGCACAGACAGACACAGAGCTTACATTAATGTACATAGAAACGACGGCGCCGTATCCCAGAGACGATTAAAGAAAGACTGTAACAGAGCACAGCGACTGACACAGAGCTTTATTGTGCAAGAGAAAAAAAGAATCTTCAGGCCAGTAAATGGAGAATCATACAGATGGGAAAAGGTCGGCATGCTGCTAATTCAAACAAAGCAACATTGACTATATTTACATTCAAGTGTTAAATGGATCGCACCTGCATCGCCTTCACTTACGAGTAGATTCACTATGCAACAATACCCCATTCACACGATACAAAAATCAAACCCTAGCTTTAACTGCACATGCAAATTAAGTACAGTATAGTTTACTACTCTCTCACTTTAATATTACAAAAATACCCATCTGATTTAAGTACACATCTGAACAAATAAAAGTTTTGTTGTGGCACCTACACTAAAAAAAAAAACTGTCATCGCAGTTTTGATTTCTTTTTTTTTCCAGCATTGGACATCATTTTAAAAAATAGCTCAGTAGTACTCAGGTTTGTGACAGTTCAAAAAAAAATTTTTGAGCAGTTGACCATGGTTGTAATAGGAAGCTTGGTGATAATCAGCACACGGTT